GGATGGATGGATGGATGGATGGATGGATGATTTATCAGTAGTCTGTAGCTAAGCTAACTATGCTAAATGGTTGATAATCTCATACAGTCTACCCACCTCTCGGAGAAAAACAGCTATAAATTGACACTCTTGACCTTTTTCTCTCTCTCTCTCTACTTTTTTTATTTTTTATTTTTTGAAAACCTGGTTTTCTAACTTTTCTTAGCAGCATAGTAACTGCCACAGTCGTTCGTGTCTTCCACTGACCGCCCCCTGCCTGTGCTGTCTGGATTGTGCAACTTGTGACTCATCATTAAATCGTCTCTTTTCACACCACAACCTGTTCTCCGCATTCATCCTCAGCACCAACTTCCGCGATTCATAACATTAGCAGCAGAATGAATTAGCAGCACCCTAACCCATATTTGGGGCCATCAGAACCAGAACCTGGAGGTTCTCCATTGTTGAATGACGCTGCAAACCGCAGCAGAGAGCCGACCCCAGCTGCTGCTCACGGCCCGCCCAGGGAACGCGGCGGTTAATGGAGAAGCTCACTACCTGGGGTAGAACCGGACCGGACCGAACATTAACCGGTCAGGGGCTTGTCAGTGAAAAAGCGCCATGTGCATCAGATCCAGTTCACCAACCAGTACGAAGAACCAACTCCCTCCACCAGATGGCGCTGCTTCGCTGCTCCGCATGATTCACTCATTCATAACGGGCTGATCTCTTATCTATTATGAGGTTATGTATTTATGTCTGAGCACCCATAATCTGATGCTACAGTAGAACCGAACGGGTCGAACCGGTATAATGACATATAAAAATATAATATTCATCAGATTCCTTCAGCAAGGGGAACATAGAAATAAAGCGTCATAATAATCTTTAATAATAATAATTGTAATAATAATCTACCCAGTGGCGCAAAAAGTGGGTATGCAGCGCATGCAACGCATAGGGGCGCAGTACCAGAGGGGGTGTCAAAACCCCGTCTGGAGGGGGCCGATTATGTTTTCTCATACACTTCAGCGCGCCTTACGCTGCTTCACCTCACGCACATAATGAGGTAAATCTAGCGCGAGTTTCATCCTTAATTTATCCTTGCCTCGGGGGTGGGGAGGGGGCGTATGTTTTCTACGCTGACGTTCCTTCCTTCAGGGGTGGGGGGCGCCGATTTATGTCTTCGCATCCACCTGAATAATGTGCAGTTGCGCCATTGAATCTACCACTAATAATAGTAGGAATGGGGCAGATGCATAACATCAGATTTTGTGAAAAACATATTTGAGTATTTTTTTAATCAACAGGTAAAATAAAAGATTTATGCAACGCCTGCAAACTGAATTTAAATCTACTTTAATCATAATTTAGTCTAATTCATCCTGACTCATCCTTGTTCATCTAAGGCATCAGAAATCTCGCAGCCTGAACAAAAACTTCCAAAGCTCCAGCCCCGAGGCGCCGCGGCCCGCGGGCGGAGCTTGAGCGGCTCGTGTGGGGCGGAGCCGCTCCTCCGCCTCGGTCTGCAGCTTCGCTGCGGCCCAGAAGCGGTCCGCTTCAGGTCCAGTTCACACGAACCAGAACCTTCTCTGCTTGTCCATCTGCGGTCATGTCCAACTCAGAGCGGGTCGTGTTGGTTCTGGGAGGAGCGGGGACGGTGGGCTCTGGCATAGTCAAAGCCCTTCTGGATAAAGGTATATTATTATTATTAATTATTAATTATTATTTATTATTATTATTATTATTATTATTATGTTATTCAGCGCAGTTTCGCGCCTCGTGTATTTTAGTTTTTATGAGTTTTCCTGGCGGTTTTCAATATTTTCTAGCCATGAACTGCTGAACTATTTATAATCTATTGTGTTTTTAAGCTATTTTATGGGTAAAACCAACCGAACTGGAACCCGAAACAACCCACGTTCCTCCATATAATCTCACATCTTTAGTCAAACCGAGAGCAGACAGCAGAAAGTTATTAATTGAAGTTCAACCAAACATTGGAATCAATTCCTTTACTTGAGGCGGTTCCAGATGGATGATGTTCTGAAAAGTCCAGAATGAACCAGATTTTCCTCTGAAACATCTTCCTGCGAAACCAGAGCCACAGCAATTCTCAAAGGAGAGGAAAGTTTAAAGTCTGTAGAAAGAAGACAGATTTTAGGGTTTAGTTGTGTTTTAGTTGCTGAGTCGGGTTGTCGCTCCGTTTTCAGGGTTTAAGGCGGCGGTGATCTCCAGAGACGGCGACCGACTGGAGAGACTCGGGGCCTTCGTCTCTCCCAGCAGCAAGGACAACCTCATCGCTGTAGTGGGGAACGTGGGTGAGTTGGCCCACAGCATGATGCTTCTCCTGGTGAATGGCAATAAGAGAACAAAAAAAAAAAATCAGTCCAGCAGAACATTATGACCACCTGCCAGGTCCTGTCTTTCTGCTGGAGCAGCTCCACCAAGTAGTCCCGTCCCGACAGATTTATAGCTTAGCTGCTAGCATGTAGAGCAGGAGTTCTGCTCAACAGATGGGGCTGGGAGAGGGGGTTTCCATGGTGACCTAGAGGTCCCATTTTTTCTTCAACCATTTTTGCTGCTTAAGTTCTCAATGCTTGAATTTACTGGTGAGTGTAAAACTGCAGATGCAGAACATCAATGTTTTAGCACGCTAACGTTAAATCAATGTGTTAGCATGTTAACATTAAATCAATGGGTTAGCAATGCTGACGTTAAATCAACGTGTTAGCATGCCAGCCTTAAATCAACAGGTTAACATGCTAACATTAATCAACGGGTTAGCATCCTAATGTTGAATCAATATATTAGCATGCTAACCTTAAATCAATTTGTTAGCAATGATAATGTTAAATCGACATGTTAGCATGCCAACCTTAAATCAATTGGTTAGCATGCTAACATTAATACACGGGTTAGCATGCTAACATTAAATCAACACATTAGCATGCTAACATTAAATCAATGCGTTAGCATGCTAATGTTAAATCAGCACATTAGCATGCCAACCTTAAATCAATGGGTTAGCATGCTAACATTAATCAACAGGTTAGCATGCTAACATTAAATCAACACGTTTACATGCCAACACGATGATTTAAGGTTGGGATACCATGCAGACGCGCTCTCCGTGTGTCCAGGCTCAGAGGACGGAGCGCAGCAAGCGAAGCAGCAGCTGCTGCAGCAGGTGGGGAAGGTGACAGACGTGGTTTCTGCCCTGGGCTTCAGCTGGTGGCAGGGCGGCCCGCCACACACGCAGACCCTCCAGGACCTGCACTGGGTCAGCACACACACACACACACACACACACACACACACACACACACACACACACACACACAGTGATCATGCCTTTCCCCTGCTGTCCTCTCCTGTTCCTTCCCATCTCTTATGTCCCCTGCTGTCCTCATGCATCCTGCCTGTCGTCCTCTGCAGGTTTTGGACGCACTGCTGTTCAGCACCTTTGTCTCCTGGAAGACGTTCTTCCCCCTGGTGAGGGACGATCCGTCCTGCAGCTACACCTTCATCACAGGTAACCATGGCAAAGTATTCACACACTGAGACGCTCTCACACTGCGTTGCCATTGGCAACAAGATGTTCCACTATAGAGATGCTGTTTTTTCTCTAATGTTCTCTAACAAATCCCAAAGAAACATGTTGGGGAGGGGCAGCTCCCAGTAATCCCAGTCTGCTCCGTGTGGCTCTGCCTCCAGGGGGAGCTGGAGAGCAGCTGCTGATGCCGGGGACAGGGTTCCTGACGGTTGGCGCCGCAAGCGCGCTGGCCTTCTGCCAGGTGCTGCGAGACGAATACCCACAGGTAGACTGCAGGCTGTGCCAGGTGAGCCACCTAGCTCTGACCTCTGACCCCTCACAGCCCTTTTAATGTTTTCATGTTTTAGTTGTTTTGCTAAATCTGCTATTTTTTATGGTTCATCTCCCAACATACAGTTCTTCCAGCCTCCTCTTCCTCTCCAACAGGTGAAGATCAACACAGGTGTGGCGACTCCGGAGCGCCTGGCGCCTGGCTACCTGAACCATCTGGACCTGGGCGTTGCTGTGGCAACCTTGGTGGAGCGAGGAAGCTCCTCCCACCGCGTGTTCACTGTCGGCAGCCCTGCGGACCTGAAGACCCAGCTGCTGGATGGGAACCTCTAGAACCCAACAGAACCGGTTCTGGTTCCGTCCAGATTCAGGCTAAAAGAATTCCTGTAAACAGAACCGAAAATTTTCTGTCCAAAACATTAAAACATGTTGAAAAGAAAAACCCGAGGAATTCTGGGAGATTTTTTAACAAATGGAGTTCTGGAGAAAAGTTCTGACCGCAGATCAAAGTTCTGACCAGTCTGGATCTGGTTCTGGTTCTGGTTGCGCCTGCTGACTGATTGCCTGTGGCAGGTTGCCGTGTTGACCCAGGCTGACAAGTTTCTGGCTGACAGCCGACCGGACGCAGCGAAGCGACAGGAAATCGTGTCACATCGTGTCGTGGCGAGTCGTTTCTGACGAGTCCTCGGCTGACCCAGCCTGTGGAGGACGAGGCGACTAGAGACTTGGAGGAAGGGACTCGTTAACCCGTCTGGTTCTGGGTTCAAGTTTCCATCTGCAGTCGGCTGCGGCCTCAGGGGGTTTAGCTCCAGACAGAGCGGATGGCCAGAACCAGGAGCTGCTCCTGCAGCAGAACGGATCTCTGCTTCTCGCTGCTGGGAAGGAATCCGGTCTAGTCCAGTCTGGTTCTGGTTGGATGACCCAATTTGGGTCAAGATCTCTTATAAAATGTTTCCATCACAAAGAGTTGTTCTGATCCACCTCTGCATGTCAGAGATCAACCAAGCTGGAGATGTTTCCTCCAGAAACCCCTCACATGCGATGACATCATGTGAGGCAACATCAGGGAGGCAGGAGCAAAACCCTTTTGTGCCTTCAGGGCCTATCGACCCTTTGCTGCTGCGTCACTAAATCATGACGGTCAGTAGTCCAGATTGGCAGAACTGAACAGAGCAATGGAAATTCTTTACCCCAAGTTGTTTCTGTCAGTTTCTTCATGGCTTCTTGTTCCAGTTAGTTTATTTGTCTGTGAACCACCTAGTTGGGCTCACAGACGACGGGATTTACAAAAGCTAGCTTACCCAGATAGCAAAATATGAATGAAACAACGTCAAGCAGAAACATTGAATCTACTTGAAGCCTGACATTGAAATGGAATTGAAAGTAGTCGGTGACTCACATGTTGAATCAATGTTTCAACCATAATTGACTCTATATCAGTGTTGATTCAACCATCTGAATGTGGATCTGCATGCAGATTTGGGTTGATTTTACATTGAATGAAAACTAAGGATTTATGTACATTTTTTGATTCTACATCATAATATACCACTAAAGGTTTCTTCGCTGGTGTTAAACACAGTTTTATTGGCAGACGATGGGTATTATGTCATTCATAATTATTATTGTGTAAACTAGTTTAAAAATGACATGGCATTAATGTAACATTTTATTTTAGAAAACAGGCATAGATCTGTAAATATATTTGATTCCTTTTGACTGTCAGAGCATCAGTCTATTGTCCATGAAGGTCCAGCAGGTTCAGTTTGTTCTGTATGAACCAGGAAACAGGAATAGTTGGGCTAACAGGTCTGACTCTGGTTGGGGTCACTTTGGCTCCTTGGTGCCTTCCTCCCGCTGTGGTGCCTAATGAAGCCACTTCCTGACAGTTTCCCTGCAGTCAGTCAACTTTGGGTCAAACTGCTGAGCAACAGCTGAAACACAGAGAGATAAGAGTGAGGAAGGCGCCAGTTAGAAAGATGATAAACATTAGAAAAGTTCTGAAACATTGAAATATTAAATAGTGTATTGGTTATAGAACAAACACAAAGCATACAGTTCCCCATGTACACTCAGTTAAATTAATTAGGACACTAATGAATATTCATTAATATTTATCTTAGTTGACAAATACAGTAACATTTACCCATCAAGCTGCAGCGTAATGTCGCATTTATGATGCTGCACTCATGTTAAAATAAGGGAATCAATATTGAAAATAAAGTTCTGTGCATCAGTAAACCTAAAGATAAAACTCAGGAAGGATCAGGGTTGATTTAACAGACAGAAAAATAGAGCAAAAGGTGCTTTGTATTGTAGTTGGAAAACTTATTTACAGTTTATACAGGATAAACTTCTATCCAACAGCTGGTTCAATCTTCCATTAACCAAACATTTCCAAATAAGTTGATTAAATTCATTCAAAAGGCTGATAAAGATCCCACACCAGTAGTAATAGTCCAGTTTAACCAGTTACCAACCCAAGAATCGGCAGGTTTAGATCAGCGGTTCTTCTGCACCTGGATTCAATCTGTGGTGATTAACAGCTTTCTGCAGAACTGATGGCTGCAGACGGTCATGCAACCATGTGAATCAGCTGTTCTGGATCAGAGGCTCATCTAAGCACATCATAATAAACAATTAAAAAAACTAGTGATTTAAAACAACAGCCCTGAGCTTCCCAGACCAGACAATAGGCACCACCCTATTTTTGAAAACTCAAATCCCACAAAATCTCACAGGATTTCGTACTGAGGCCTAGATTGGTGTGCAGGATTAAAAAAAAATACAAAAGGACACATTACCTCGATTATTAAAAATATCTGGTTTGCCCCGAAATAACAAAGATTACTAAAACACAAAACAATGAGGTTATTTTTCAATAAACACATTTAAGATCAAAGTTATGTTGCCAAACTTACCATAAAACTGCTCAGAGTAGAATCCAATTCAGAAGCCGGTTGCAAACAAGCCAGAAGCAAAGTGGCTGTTTGGGACAAACCACTGGAGTAAAAACGGGGAGGCGGATCGAACCACTGCTGCAGTGACTGTAGATGTTTTTGTATCAACACAATATGCACAGTCAGTAATACTATTTACAGACAAGTAAGAAATTGTACAGAAAGGAATCACAACCCACTGATCTCAACATGTAGTGCTTCATTTGAAACATGTTTAACCCAGTAATAAAATGTTCTGAGCTCAAGGAGTGGGGGGGGGGGGTTAAGAGGAGGGGAGGAGGGGTGCAACAAACGGCATACTTGGATTCAAAACTGATTAGACATGGGTCCTCAAGGCCAGCTGACCTGCATGTTTTCAGTTCAGCAAAATCCTGTCAATCAGCCATCAATTAAAATCATGTGTGCTGAATTATGGAAATGCCTAAAACTTGCAGGTCAGGGTGCCCTGAGGACCAGTATTGAAAAACCCTGGATTTGACGTTGGCATTTCAACTGTTATAATTCAACCACAAAACAACATTGATTCAATTTTAACATTGGTTACTTGGCTAGAATTGGATGATTGTTTGATGGTTGATCCGCCGTCAGTCGTCGACCAATTCATCATTGAATTAAAATCAACCATTCTGATTATAATTCAATGATGAATTACCATCGTGTGCTATCTGGGTAGAAACCGACTGTACTTTGATCAGAATTCACATGATTTATATCTCTGTCGTAAACCGCATCTCCTCTTACACCAGAGCAGCATTAAAAACGTACAAGAGACGAGACGCTAACCCGTTTTTTTCTGTTCATGTTAGGGTACATAACGGTGCAGCACTGTCTCCATGGTTACCGATGGTTGACATGTACCTTCTCCTGATGCCATATTTGATATATTTCTAATCATACTGACTTATAAACTAAATGAATGTAAATAACCCCAAATGAAGCTCCTTATTTGTTGCATCACATTTTGAGCATGTATTGACTTTACTTAATTTGTATAATATATAGTTGAACTCTGGATTTTTATTTGATGCTTTTATTTTGATAAAATAACTTC